TACGACTCAGGGTTCATGGTGGAAATGGTGTGGAGGTATGTGTCGAAATTTGCAGGTGCTTAGAACAAAGAAAAAGAATATCGAGGACTGGTTTAAAGCTATCTGGACACGTTTGAATGAAAAGGTGCAGGTAGGAGTGGCAGCAAGCTGTGATTGTAAATGATGCTCGGAGTGTCTGTCTATTAAGCTGAGAGTGACCAGGCGGTCTCTTGGAAATGGCGGTTGTTGCGTTGCTGACGACTGCAGGAGAGCAGGGGAGCCCAACGTGCAGGTTCCAGCCGCGGGCTGCTGGTGACCGTTTCACACTCCAGACCCACCCACCTACCTCAAAAGCCCATGGACTAATCTGGATTAGTGTCCTGGTACAGAAAGTCTTACTAAGTCCAACAATTGGGACACTAACTCACTGTTACTTGTAGTTAGGTAATTAAATATAAGTAAGCGTGGTAGTTTCGGTGCGGTGGGAATAGTCACATTATTCATTGGCATTTTCCAGTAAAATCTTCTGCAGAATGTGTCATGGGTACAACATGGTCCCTTCTCCATCAGAAACCACCACAAGAGCTAGTCATGCAGATGTACGGCGAGGATAACCGTCGGTCAATTTGAGATCTGCTCATTATTCGTAGTTCCTCACAAATGACCATCTCATTTTGAAACCAATAACATCACTCTATCTCGACAGACATCCAACGAGCCAATGAAGGTGGGAAAGCACCTCTACACATTCCTTCATTCAATCTCGGCCGTTTCGCCTGCTATTGCTCAGGTGATTCTCCCAGCCACAGTGGGGCTGGCTCTCACTGAATAACTATGTCATACGAACCCACCCCCTCAAAAGAGCAGTAATCGCTGTTTCTAACTAGTCACACATACCCATGAGCCTGAAGCCACTCCAACACCAGACCCTCATCTCTGTCTTTGTAGTGCACATTTGTGCGGATGCTATCAGCAACAATGACCAGAGCACGGTCGTAGGCACTGGTATCCTTGTCCCGAAAGAAGGCAGAGATGTCGGTTTCAATGGTGTGATCGGCGAACTTAGAAAGTCCCATGCGCACAAAGCGCTCGAAAACAACATTGTTTGTCGATAAACGAGATTCGACCATGTCCCAATGCGTTTTCATGTACTCCCAAAGTAAATGGCGAGTGCTTGAATTCGAAGCAAGTGAAACCGCACCGTTATGTATGTCCTGTATAGCAACCTTGTCTGAGAAGACAAAATCCAGGTAGTCCCTGACCAAATCAGGATTTTTCGTGCGTCCAAGAGCCCCTAGGCAGATCTCTTTGCCATCGACAGAATCGGTTCTCAAATATTCCTCCTTGACGGAAGCATACTCTTGATTCCCACCCTCAGAAACTATAACACCAAAAATAACAGAGCGCAGGTTCGTATGCACGGCGTTTTTGTCTTTAGCTGTGTTCCAGAGCTGGAAGCGTCGTGTTGCCTCGGAAATCATACTAAGGTTGAATTTTAGTGGAGATTTCAGTAAGCAGCCTCAGGATGTGAAGCCACTTACTCTTTATGCCCAGCATGGCATGCCATTCCAATCAAAAGTTTCCGAAGCTGTACAGTAAGATAATCATCTTCGGGCTTGAACTCCCAGCCGATTTCTTCAGCGGCCAGTGAGACTAATTCGAGGGTAAATTTCTTCAGCCCTGACAAAACCGAGTTGTTCTGTGCAAACACCGAGCGTAGGTTTCCGATAGAAGTTGAGATTTGAGACCAGATCCTAGAATATAAACATCGTTAGACTGAGATCACAAATAAGACGCACTAATGGCGTTCATGGGATGCTGACAGGTAGTTCTTTTCTTCTTTGAAACCACTCAGTAAAGATAACAAGGCAGTCGTTGTGCCATTACCAGAAACGGCAAGGGCAGCAGCATCGCCGATCAGGCCAATCTTATCCTCAGTACTTAGTAGATCCAAAGCCTGTCCGAGTTTAGCCAAACGATCAGCAGGGTAATTGGTACGGTAGAAGCCAGAAAGGTTCTTGTTTATCTTGTAGAAAGATTCCTGCCCCACACCGGGGACGGAATCTGATTTAGATACCAGAGCACCCTTATTTGTGTCAGACACCTCAAGGGCCGACTGGATACCTAGCGGAATCCACCATGTTGTTTCGTCCTCCTCCGGTTTGGCATCACCTGTCGAGAGAAAGCGGTTTTGCCGGATGTTGATTCGACCCGGCTCCTCGGTGATAGTGATAACAGGGAATCCGATCTTGCGAATCCAAGGATCCTATACCACCTATTAGTTCAAGGGACCTCAATTAAACTCAAAAACATTACCATGAAGCTAGTTACATCCTGGTTGGATGCCTTGCTTAGAGCCGACCAAAGATCATTTGTGGTAGCATTGCCTGTGCATTATCAAAATCAGCAACCCAACATTCGCAAGCTTGTTGCATTGCCAACTTGCCGTAAGCGTGTGCCTTGAGATACGCAGCTACACCGCGTAGAAAGGTCTCTCGACCGAGGTGATCACTCAGCATGCGAATGACCGAGCTTCCCTTCAGATAGCTGATGTGATCGAAGATCTGATCCACCTCGAGAGCGTTTCTAACAGGTACCTCAATCGGATGTGATGCCCGCAAAGAGTCAAGCTGGAAAGCTTGTTGGACACCCTCAGCCTGTGTGCCGGTCAACATAGAACTAACATGTGGAGTTACCTCGGGAATTGCGCACAACAAACTGAGACCAGATATTCCATTCTGGATGTAGAACCTAGGTTAGTTCTATTCAACAATGACCACACGATGGCCAATACTTACCAGGATAGAAGTGGTCAACAGCAAGCCAACCGACCCAAGTTGCAAACCCTTCGTTAAGCCATAGTTCGTTCCACCAATCCATCGTAACGAGGTTGCCAAACCATTGATGAGCCAATTCTGAGAGAATTACGGGTTACATATGAGGTGGTATTGCCTTGAAAAAAGGAAGGCTTACCGTGCGCGACCACATAAGCAATGCGGTTCTTATACCGGGTATCGGACTTGCCCTCTTCAAAAAGCACAGCAGTTGTTCGGTACGTTACGAGTCCCCAATTTTCCATAGCACCCATCGCCTATACAGCATTAGTAGGCTTGTTTGATGTCTTAAAAGCGTGAAGGAAGGGTGTTCACAAATTCATGGACAGCGAGAAGATCCGCCTTGGGCAAGGGATATTCTATCTCGAATATCTCGGAGAAGTAGTCAACGGTGCGATGAGCACATTCTAAGGCGAATCGAGCTTGTTCTTTCAGACCTCTGGTTGTATAGACACGGACAGGTATACTCTTTCCTTGATATTTGCGTTCTGTCATCGCCTCCACGTATTCGAAATCGCCAACTGCCCACGCCAGAAGCTGGATTTGATATTAGAGGGAATTCTCGCCGAATCACTGGAAAGACTCACATATGTGCTCATGACGGGAGTTCTCTCAAAAGAGACAACTTTGAGTCCCGGCTTACGTCCAGCCCTCTCATCTTTAATAGGCATGTTGCTCAGGGCAGTTTGACCGGTGGGCACCTCGATCTCAAAATCAAAAGTGGCTTTCAGATTTGGTTCGTCGAAGCATGGGAAAGCCCGACGCGCGTCACAAGACTCGAATTGGGTGCTCAACATGTAGTGGAAGTCTCCTTCTTTGGGTGTGTCTCCAGCTGGTTCCACAACAGGGGTGTATTTAGACCGGTAGAACCCAGCCATCGCATTGTTCATAGTTCCGGTAAAATTCACCGAGAGAAGAATATTTGAGGGTGCAATTTCCGACGGGAACTTGAAAGTCACACGCTCTGAGGTTCTATCATAGGTGATCTCGGATGCTTCGGACAATTTGGTCCCTAACGCAGGCTGTCAATACTACGGCAAAGGGAACAATTGTGAGCAGAGCCGGGTGCAGGTTGATGACGGACCATCTTCACCATGTATTTCGACTTTCTGAACCTCGATTTCCTTCGAGTTGAGCACAATCTCCTTCGTAGGGCGGGTGACTCTGGCCTTAATCCTGATGATACCATTATAGCCCCAGGAACCACTGAACTGTAGATCAAACAAAGACACATCGTAATGGACTGGGACAACTCTGTGCTCGTCGTTAGAAAGGTGTCTTTTGAGAACCGCAGTCACGGTTTGCAACTTACACGTCCGGGAGGACATCTCTGTCCTTTGATGCCATTGTGTGGGTGCGGAAATCAGAAGAGCAACACCTTGCAGAGGACGGATGGCCAGCAGGCGTGAGGGTAGGAAGCAAATGTGTGCGCGGGGAGAGCGAAAGAGCCGATATATGGCGGGAACGCGAGGAAGCGAAGGAGGGGGACCAGGGGATGGGAGGGGAGGGGCAGTAGAGGGAAACTGGTCGGACCGGCTGATAAACCAGAAATCGTCCACGGATTGGAGCTTTGACACCAGTACGTGTACATCTGGCTGGCGACGCTGTGGCGGCTGTGCTTCTAACGGGACACCTTCTTCCCCACATTTATGCTAATGGTATCTGGATCTGGTCAAACGAGCCTAAATTGGGCAAATCTCTGTCTACGGTTATCTTCAGCCCACGCCACAAAGCCTCATTTACCTGTGACGATATAGATATGGAGTGGTACGCATACATACAAGTAATTCAGATAATCCGGAGTGGGGAGAGATTGCAATGAGGGTAAGAGTCCTGAGAGCCTGGAGACAAAATCACTTTATGGTGTTTTACAGAAGGCTCGGGCAAAGACTGAAAGGCAGAGTGGGGAGGGGAGGAAATCGTACGTAAACAAAGCCTAGTAAGTAAGAATGATATGAACCCAAGAGTCAAGTAAATTTTAGTACTCCATAGTTATTCAATGATTATTATTATTATTATGTTCCGTCAGGACACAGACCGGAGCTCCGACGGAGCTTGGACCCTTTTCGGGAGATGAACGTAATTCTTGGTTATTTCATTATCTAATCACGGCCGAAGGATGAGTAATCAGTAGTTGTAAGTTAAGTTAACTCTTCCTAGTCGAACTACTCAACATTCCTACTGCATGCACTATCTAAGAGTACCTTACAGCATTGATACTCAAGGTGTCTAACCACAACACACTAGTCCCAAAAACCGCTAAAGCCGATTTTTCAAGTATCTTCACCTACCCTGTTCGTTCGCTTTGATCCCAGATCCGTTTTTGTCGCAGCCTTCCTCAAAATTCTAAACATGGCCGATTCCGATGAAGAGTATGCTGGGGAAATCTCCGAGGATGAGGTAGATGGCAGTCATATCTCATCTCGAGGCGGAGTCGCTCAACCGCCGCGTTCGAAAAGGAAGAAAAATCGCGGAGGCGCCGAATGGGAGGTCTCAAGGACTTGGGAGAGCTTGGTCGAAGGCGCAGATGGCACGATCAACTCCACAGTAGAGGGCCTGCTTGAAGCTGGGAAAAGGAAGAGGTTAGCTTCTCTTTTCTCTCACTCTTGATGCATGCCGAAGGGGAAAACAAACGACATTGAATACAGGTGGGTTATGGCGAAGCTGAAAATCTTCACAGACTTCTACGGGACACCACACCATTACAACGAGGCATTATCCGCCACCTTATCCTGATTCTTGATTTGTCACACTCAATGGCAGAAAAGGATCTACGGCCAACGCGATATCTCCTGTCTCTGCGCTATGCTCAAGAGTTCGTCAGAGAATTCTTTGAACAGAACCCGATCTCTCAATTGGGTGTGCTTGGCCTGAGAGATGGCCTCGCAGTACGGGTTAGTGATATGAGTGGAAATCCTACTGAACATATCAGTGCAATTCAAGCCCTACGAGAGCATGACCCGAAAGGTCTTCCTAGTTTACAGAACGGGCTTGAAATGGCTCGAGGTGCTCTCTTGTATGTTCGCACCATCCAGAGTATTGGCGCAGCTAATTTGCGCCCACAAATCACACCAACTAACCCATGTTTCAGTCATACTCCCACTCACGGTACCCGTGAAGTCTTGATCATCTTTGGTTCCTTGCTCTCCTCTGATCCAGGTGATATTCACCATACCATAGCAACTCTGGTTAGCGAGAAAATCCGTGTTGGCATCGTGGGCCTTGCTGCTCAAGTAGCCATCTGCCGCGAGCTTTGCTCTAAGACAAATCATGGCGATGATAAAACGTACGGCGTGGCTCTTAACGAGCAGCACTTTCGTGAATTGGTAATGGGCGTCACAACCCCTCCAGCCACGTTTTCTCAAAGGCAGTCCGCAAGTTCCCTCCTGATGATGGGATTTCCATCACGTTCTGTCGAAGCCCACCCTTCTCTTTGCGCGTGCCATTCGAATGCTTCTTGCGGGGGCTATTCCTGCTCTCGATGCAATAGCAAGGTTTGCGGCCTTCCTGCCGAATGCCCTTCTTGCAGTCTAACACTAATCCTTTCCACGCATCTTGCTCGGTCTTATCATCATCTTTTCCCATTGATGAACTGGGTCGAAGTTCCATGGGCGCGAGCCTCGCGTAGCCTGGCCTGCTTCGCTTGTGGTATAACTTTCCCCCAAGTGCCCCCTAGAGAACAATGGCAGGCCGCAGATGTACAGTCTAGAGGGATGAGCGTAAGCAGTCGCTATGAATGCACCGTGTGCCGTAACAATTTCTGCATTGATTGTGACCTTTTTGCTCACGAAGTTGTGCACAATTGCCCTGGTTGTCAAAGCGAGACCACATTGTCAACAACGTCTGGGCTGGTTCAGGTAATTGACAGAATGGATACATCGGCATAACTTGGTCGACATCATTCAGCAATACTACGGGACCTTCCGGTTCAATGACCTATTTCATACAGGAATTGCACATCTCCGTAAGCCTTACACTGTAGATGCTGGTGCAGAAAGAACCATCAGGGTCAGCTTCGGGGATGTTAAATCCGCTGCTACCATTTGGCCACTCTGCACGGAATGCGGTTATTCTTGCAGGTTGGCACTGGTGTGGTGTCGTGGTGATGCAGTAGGCACATCCTTCACTACAATGCGCATGTGACAATCCCAGCGAGCGGATATCCGGTCATAAAAGAGGCCAAGGAGTGAGTAGAAGATGGTACCGATATCTTAGGAGGTAGCAAGCTTGAATAACTGTGTCAAAGAAATCACTTGAATCTTGAAACAAGCTACCAAGTGCTGTGGCCTTGATTCGATCATTGGGTTTTGTAGTGGTTGCGGAATAGACAGACCTCGGCTAGTCTTGTATTCTACTCTGTACCGCTTGTCACAGAACCCAGGTTCACATGCCGCAGTTCCGCTTCTCTTGACGCTTCAATTGACAAGCATCCGATACATCACCTTTGACATTAGCTCATGTCCGATATAGTACGCATTAGCTCCTCAATACGGTCATGAATCCCACGCGTACACCTGCTGTGTGGGAGGCTTCAATCCAGTCTTCAGGCAAAGAAGCAGTTCCCCCGCCTGGAGTCGAGCAGGAGAAGTGGGACATTGAGCTCTTTGAAAGACTCAGTTCCTATCCATTCGAGGATGATCATGAGTTTGCACACGGGCTCTCGATAATTCTCGGGCACCCTGAGATACCAGCGTCAAGGGCGGAGATTGACCGGGACGATGACGTTACGTTACAGGCTAAATGTTTCTACTTCTCGAGGTTAGAACTTTCAACAGAAAATTTAGAACCCATAGCTCTAACCATGACTATCATTGCTCTCTCGGTTCAGAAAAAAGAAACTCCCGACCCCCGTGAACGTCGGAGATTACCAACTATGGTTACAAGCCAGACCAATAGCAGCTGAAGCTGCTGGTCCTGTAAACCAGCAGCAACTCAACAATGTGGTATCTGAAGACCATGCAAATGCGCCCTTGAAGCAAGCAGAACCCGCGTATCCCTCCTCATTCGCTCATATAGTCGAACTCATTACGACCGGGCAAACCATACCTGGAATTCAGCAGATCCCAGACACTATACTCGCTGGCCAAGACACTCCAAGTGCCAGGTCGAGGAGACGGAAGCCGTGGGAGCTGGAAAGCGGCGAGCATGTTAGCAGATGAAAGCCGACTACGGGCTGGTTTTCAAAAACGTGCTCAACCAGCCAAGTTGATTCCATGCCTTTAGCGGATGACCGATTGAGTCCTCATCAGTATGTGAGATCAGTAGTCCGATATGTCATATTAGTTCATAGGTAACAATAAGAGCTTCTGCAAAGTAGGTAGTAAACTGGCAATAATTCATGATTTGTCGTAAACCAACCTCTCGCACAAGCAATTGTATTTTGACGGCACGTTCCTTGCCTTGTCCTCATACTTGAAACAATGAATAATGAAGAACATAGGTAATATAGCATCGACATCATCCCATCTCGCTAATTCTCCTGGTCGTTTCTCTTCTTCACCTCTTCGACTTGCTCCAGGTAGATATAGGAAAGAGCTGTCCTGGATCATGAGCCACAAAAACACCGCATGGTGCTGTGCAGGAGCGCATATGAAAGAATATTATGTGAAATTCGTCTGACTTAGACAAGATGGATCACGCACAAAGCGCAGCGCAGCCCTTTGAAGCGTAACGATCAAAGTGAATGTGTGCAGGCCACTGGGCGTCTACCTAGAACAAATCGATGTGGTAGGTTTGTTTGTATCTCTCGTCACATGATTGAAAGAATGGGTTTCATTCTCGATACTCTTTTCTTCACATTGTGGTCATCGAAATGGTGGGTAGTTGGGGTTCCACTGAGTTGCGCGACTGAAACGTCCGCTGTGTTGTCCAGGCATCTGGTATCTTTCGTCGCTGAAATTGCCGAAACGATTGACTGAAAGGCCGGCACCTGGCCCGGGACGAGTTGTGTGAGAAGGGTTACAACATAGCATGGCCACGCGGGAGCCGAACTTAGAGCCACGCAAGGACACCATGTGTTTTCTGCACGTCGCGTCAGGATCAAGCACGATTTTATTCAACAGATGAGCGAATACCTGATATGGCTGGCAACCAACTCACGCTGGTGCGATGCGGCATTTATCAATATCCATTGAATAAGGTAATTGCCATATTGGTCCCCAGCAACTGAATTAAGTCAGACAGCTACAAACAATAAGTAGTTTACGCAAGGACTTACTATCAATCAAAGGCATCCTCGGGCGATCACTGCGGCCTGTGCATACTCGAGCAAGATAGCGTTCTAGGAACTCGGAGCCACCTATCTTCAGGCATTTCTCCACAATCTTCGAAGCAAATTGGTCCATGCTGTAATCAACTGACCAAGCAAGAATGTGCTCAACGGCGCGGCTTTTGTCGTGTGGAGCACCATGTTCGCAAACATGCTGGATACACCAGTTTCCAAACTGACCGTGGGCAAGTATGTCGATCTTCGATAACACCTCTTCGATAGCAGGGCGCTGTCATCGCGTTAGCAAGCATTCAGCAGGGCTCATTGACTGTCCTCTAAGCAGCCTGCTCCAGACTCCCTAGGGCCATTGAAGAACAAAGAAGAGGATGATCAAGTATCACCTTTTCGTCCTCGACGCAATTCTCGAATATGTTCTGCACTACCAAACTTCCCGTCTCGCCCAATGCGACTTCGTGCCACATCCCGCATAGTGCTTCGTTTACTTTACTCATGATCTGCGGGGGTTCTCCGCTCCATCGCAATTCGAACAGCTTCTGCCAGACATGGCATGCGTACCTATGGATGACAGTTTCTGGTATTCGCCGCAGAAGTTCATGGACCATAACCGCTTTATGCTCTTCTGGGACGCAGTCAAAGGCCTTTTGTATCACATGGCAACCGAAAGGATCCATACTTAGGCTCAGGGTATTTCCTTTGATAGCATTGGCAATTGCAATGATCTGGTCGGGGGTTCCATGTTCGAAGCAGCGTTGGACGAGAAAGTTCCCGAAGCGGTTCACCATGAGCGGATAGGCTTGATGTACAATCGCCTCTATGATTTCATACTTTTGCTCGTTTGTCCCAACCTTGAGCTTTTGTTGTAGGAATATCGAAGCTTGCTGGTCGTTATTACATACGATCTTATCGACTATATATTTCCAATCGCAAGAAACATTTTTGTCAAGCAGTCGTCGGTAGTTGATTGGTTCCAATGGTGAAATGTACGTTTGGCTGGGATTTGTGCCCATCTAAATTCATAAGCTCAAGTCAAAGCGACAGGAAGGTGGAACGTCTCTCACCGACGAGGCTTGCCATGAGTTAGACGTATTGAACTCTGTGGCTGTTGGTGAGAGTGGGGTTCCAATTGGGCGTTGATGGTATGTATGAATTGGATACAGTCCAACTTGTTGGTAAGCAGCGTTGGACCTTTCCATGGAAGATCTTGAAAGAGTTGACTCGGGACTTGACGCAAAGGCAGCTGGCCATGGAGTACCGTGGCTTGAGAAGCATGATCCGCCACGGCTGTTCTGGGTGAATGAGCGCCGCGGTCCTAGCCCTGGAGCTTGAAGGTACCTAACTTGTTCCTCAGGTATACTTGCATCAAGGGTGAAGGGTCCCGGGGCTGGACCTGAGATAACTCGGTGTGACTGAAAAACATCGTGGCTCGGCACGCAAGGGTTTGTACTCGAGCCAGCCCAGAATCTGTTAGAGTCCTCGCCATAGGTACTGTTACAAGGCAAATGGAGTGGCTCTCCATAAGGTCTTTCCATGGTCGGGCTCATATTTGTGCTCATCGCTTGCTGGGTTGTAGATGTCCAAAATGCCCGATTCCTGTTGTATGCTCCAGCAGAGAGAGCATCAGACATGTCGGACTGAGAGTCATCTTGCGTATTCCAGCCATCCTGGATAGAAGTAAAGCATGTTTGTGACGCTTTGAATGCACTTTGCAAATTGGCGATTGTTTGTTCCGTTACTTCTCGTCCATTGAACTCGGCTTCAGAAGGGGGTCCGAGTGCTTGGTCTATAGTATGTTTGATCACTCGAGTCTGGGCTAATTCCTGCTCTTGCAGGGCTATCTTTGAGTTGGCAGCCAGTAGTTCCTGCTTCAAACGTAACACCTCGGCCATGTCGATGTGAGCTGCCTGCGACGGCTCAGTTTCAACCAGGTCACTTGATGTGCGAGGAATTTCTCCTGATGGTAAACTGCTGGGAGACTTGTCAAGGTCTGTATGCTCATCACCGAAGTCCGGATTTGTCTCATTGTCGAACATGTGATGGCTATGTCGCTTGAGTAAATGTTGCTCGCTAGGTATCCTTGAAAACAGGCTCTGGTCCACGGGTAGCTTGGCCTCGGACGGCTGAGGCTTGGGAGAAAGCTTGGCTAATATCCTGTCCATCTCGGTGTGGGTACATGGGGAGACAATATTGAAATGCTCCAACTTCTGCTTCTAGGCTTGTGAGATCTTGGACTAATGGCATTAGTCGCGAAATTCTGACCTTGCTTGATGTGACATCATGGTAAAAGTCATCCGCCGCGGTTTGACTGCCTCCGGGGACAGACGATCTCAGAGACTCCGACACACTGGCTGGAGCCTTGGAATGTGCATGGCTCTAAGATTGACGTACTACTGTCAGAACTGTATAGCTACTGCATCGTGTTTGTTAGAGACTCACTGCAACCCCGCCTTCGAGATCTAGTACATGGGAAGTACTCGCAACACTGTGAGGAAGGCCACTATCGGTGCAGTTCAGCTTGGACGATGCTATTGACATGAGAGACATCATGTGTCGAGAGCCGCCTAATTGAAGTTCAGCTTCAAAATTCGCGACGGTGCACCCGTCCAATATCATACGTGAGAGCAGGTGGCTGGAGCAGTCGAGAGTCAAATGGCGTCAATCGCTTTGCAAGGAATGTTTAGGTGGTCGTTATTTGAGGATGGACCGGAACGACAATAATTATTGGTAAGATACGACCAGATCCCATCCAGAAAAAGGCAGGGTAGATAGTCACTATATCAGAAAGAAGATATATGAAGCCTTCGGTATCCCTACTGGCCTGTATACTGCACGGATAGCGGGCTTAGTGCTATGATTCGGAAGCAGCGACGGGGAGTATTGGTTGGTACCTACCTAGTAGAATGAAGCCCCGAACTTAGGAGCAATGATCGGAGGAAGTTGCGTGCGAAGGGCCGCTACCAATGAAAGGTATCTGCAGAGTTGGTAAATCAAGGTACCTATCTAGGTAGTGGCATCATGTCTATCAGTATGTCAAAGAAAACGACTGAGGAGGATTGGTTATCAATCTTTGCGTTGCAATAGCTTGATAGGTACTGTACAGTGAGCAGGAGACTGTCCTGAGAAGTGCACTATAATTTACGGAATACTCTATTTGAAGTAGGTTTTCATACTCACATAGTAAGAGATATACATACATTATGTACGATCAAAGTAAGACTCTGTACACGCATAAGTACTATGTATATAAGATGGTGCAGTAGCAGGGTGTTCGGAACCTATAGCCCTATAACCTACCTACCTATAGTACCTTCTTCTTTTAAAAAGGTTCAGAGAGTATGATTTTTTACTATCTTTGACTATCTATAGGTGTTTTACCTACATAACACTACTGTAGTAGTGCTATTGACATAGATCTGTACCATAGTGCAAGGCTAGTAGATTATTTCAATCTAATGCTAAAACTTTATACGGAGGGTCTTTTTTTTTTCAAGCAACTCTCCACTACTGTAGTATTCTAATACTATCATACTGCCACTATAGCCATTTACTACGGGCTAGTGGCCTGTTTCTGTAGCGATTTTAATAACTCACTTGTAGGCAATATGGAATAATTCCTTAGTAGACGTTGACTGTTATTGCTAACACTTTATTCAAGAATACTTACAATTATATGCCTTGTAGTACTGTTACTAAAGAACATATTCAAAGCCCAAAGCTTAAAGAAAGATCTGGGGGCTGGATACTGCAGGTAACAATTTCTTTTCTTAGGCGGCGTATCCACAATATATACAGATTAGACTACAGAGTACAGTGTACTGTACAAGTACATTAAAAGTGTTAAGTGTTAACTTACTAACTTAACTGATATTAACTGCCTAGTTAACTACATGGTTAGTTAGTTAGTTAGGCGTATGTAGTTAGTCAGCAGGTTATTAGTTAGTTACATAACTAACTACAGATGAAAACTTAAGAGATTCGTCATCCAGTACTCCGCCGCCGGTCCTGGCAAAAACCACTAACCGACTGCGGATACTATTTAGCGCTGCCGCGGGTTGGACTAACTCGAATAATCCCTACGTATCACGTAGTCCTACTCTAACTA